AAACTTCAAAAGTTAGTATCTGTAAAAAATAAGTCAAGGCAACTGGACTTGCTGTATTTTTCTTGAAGACTTTTCACTGGTCATCCAACCAGCTTTCTCAATCCAGAATGACTTGTACAAAAATTATCTGTGAATAAACATGGTGAATGTCGCTCAAATCCACATCATCCGTTAGTCACAACCAGGTGTTGATTGATCATTTAAAGTCGCCTGTCCCTTTAAGAAAAAGTATCGGTAATTGGTATCGGCAAGTACATGAGGGGATGTACTGGTACTTGGGCCTGAAAAAGTGGCATCGGGACATCCCTAGTTGATGCATTTGCATACTTGGAGTCTATGAGGTGATATTAACCTGCCCAGAGTGATGACAGATTACCCTGTCAGTCCGCCTGATGATGGAGTCTCCCATGGAGATGGAGTTAAAACAACATTGTATGTGGCAGACAATAGATGTCTCGCCCCCCCACCCCCACTTTGCCAGCTTTTTGTTGACCTGTCCCATCTTTTTTGAGATGTGTTGCTGCCATCAATATCAAAACTAACTTATTTTTATCTTAAAATGGTACATTTTCTCAGTTTAAACATTTGATATGTTTTCTATTTTCTATTGTGAATAAAATAAGAGTTTATGAGATTTACAAATCATTGCATTCTGTTTTTATGTAGATTTTACACAGTGTCCCAACTTTTGTGGCATTTGGGATGTATTTCAGATACGTATATATTAAAAATGCATTCCTTTTCATTGGAAGAAAATACAACATTCAACATACAAATTACAAGTATTTTGATTTTTTTTATTTATTCAGACTTTTTTAATTAAAAAAAAATCTCAAGAAATGCTAACCAAGTCTATATCTTTCTCATAAATGACAAAGCAAACAGATATGCAATTACACAGCTATGGAATTGTTTTGTAGGTGTGCTAGACTTGGTGGATTTTTGAGAGTAGATTTCGTGAAAGTTTAATGTATTTCCCACTTTTTGAGAAATTCAAGTACATTGCAGGTACATTTCAGGTGATCTTTTATGGTCTGTGGTAGGGGATGTTCTAGCCATGAACAGCTTAACCTGGTGAACTCAGCAGGCAAATCTCTGTGGCTGCAACATTTGATAGCCTTCTATATCAGCCTCTTATATCTGGGAAAATGTGACACTGGGATTACAGTGCAGAGCAAATTATTTATCCGATAATGTATAGGATTTATCCGATATTTTGGCGCAAATAACAGCAATGTGGAATAACCAGGTTCATACAGCGGCCTTGTAGTGCTGTGGTCCACCGCTTAATTCTCACTATGGACATCTTTTTGCACGGCATGGGTTTATTCTAGTTACACCAGTTCTTTAAAACATTTTATATAATTATGGATAGAAGGGAAACATTTAGAGCCTCTCTTGAGGTATTATAGCGGTCTGTGTACCTATTAGAGAAATTGCTGCTTACTTCCTGTCAGGACAGGAAGTTATAGAAAATCTAACCGGTACACAGACAAAAATAGTGATTAAAAAAGTTTGAACTATTGACTTTTGAATTGCTGTCTATGCTTTCCTCTACCAGTAACAACTGCACCATCCATTTCTTGCACCATTGTGAAAAGGGACAATACATTAGAGAAGATCTCCTCAATAGGGTCACAGGCAGAAATAACTGACAGAAATGTTAACTCTTCCCCATGCTATCCAAGACAAAAAAACAAATGTCTTGAGTTAGGCTTAAATTAGGACTGTTTATGTACAGTATATACCTACGTAACTATGGTAAGGGCAGATCAGAGCTTCTCCATGAGGCCATTTAAGGCAGCTGCCTCAGACGACACTGCTGGGGGCGGCACTAAGTTCACACAGCAAAAACAGCCACCTTAGGCATCAATGAACCTAGGCACGCACCTGGGTAAGGTCATTTGATTCAAGTTTTGGAAATAATGGTTACATGTACTCTGAAAATGTGTCACTGCAAAAAACAAACAAACATGAGAACATATATATTCTGACTGCTCTAAATGCTGCTCAGTGCTCACTGCACTCATGGTAACTGTGTTAGGGATCAGTGATAGGGGTCAGGGAATAGCTAGAGAAGTTAAGGTTCAAGAGTATAGACCCCCCACTGGCAACTATTAAAAGGCAGAAGGTGTTTCCTACTATCGTTTTGATAATGGAAGATCCCAGTAATGAAAACATTTAAGCAAACTCTTCCTTTTGCTTTATATGGTGGCAGATAAATGAGCTGTGAGTAAAAGTATATTTGCTGTTGAGCCCTGCTGCTGTGCCTGTGGTGTGCAGGGTATTTGACAATCTTTCACTTCTGGTCTTCTCACCTGTGAGGATTAGGTGTCAGCTCCAATAAAATTATTCTAATACTGAGGAAAAAGAGACAGGATCGTAGAAGAAATATCATTGTGTATATACATTGCAGGGCTGAATGGAATAGTATAGATTTACCCACAGCCTGCCCTATCGTAGTCCAGACAAAATGTAGAGGCTTTAATTAAATGAATTTTATTTGAAATGAAATCTTACAGGCCATGACAAATAAATGTCAAATTTGTGACAGCATTTTCAAACGTGTAACAAAGTCTGGTAATGACATCCAAGTTGTGCTTGCTCAGGCTCATGTTCTTGTAAGAATCTTCATTATATCTTTCTGTACAAGGAATAGCTTCATACATCTCTTAATGGAACATATTGATGGCTATTGTTGATTGAGAACCCACAGACTAATTGAATCTGAAATGTTCTAAACCATGATTTTTTTAAGACAAGCAAATAAAATAGTTTTGTTTAGTTTTGAATCCATGATCATAATTGATATCAAGGGATTAAATAAATGGGCAAACTAGGCACAATCCTAGAGCATCACTGTCCACAAGTAGTGTAGACATGTATTAAAGTTTTGTTGCACTTTTTGTTAAATAAGTTCCTTTTTAACCACCTATGTGCCTCGAATTAAAAAAAAAAAAATCACCCAGCATGGGGTCAGTGTAGAAAGAAGTATATTTGTATTACTTTTAATTTCGCAAGAGGCCTCAAGTAGAGAATATGAAGGGATTGGTAAATTATGTCTCCATAGTGCTCCAAATTGTTGTCCTCCATAAAGGAACATTCTATTGTTATGGGAAAGCCTCAGATCCCAATTGCTGATACAAAATACTAAGATGCAACCGCAGCACTAGAGAGTCCTTTTCAAGGGACTTCCTCATATTACAGGTGAGGTTCTAGTCTGAGTACCTTTTAAACTCTCAACATTCAGAGTGAAAACAGGTTTTCAGACCAAAATTGTACTCATGCTTAGTGGAATAAAGTCACATGAAAGAACTTGCCGACACTTTTTTTGCACTTAAAAAGGAAAACTGTCCTCCTATTAAAAAATATGTACTGCAGAACTTAATTAAAAGTGCATCTGCACTTAGATGCAATTGATGGAGGTGCCCTCCGCACACCTTTCAGCAGTCCCGGCCAACAATCAAATAAATGGTGCTCGAAGTAACTTCACGGATGGCACCGTGCAAAACACAAGATTGAAGAAAATAGGTCACCAGCACTCCATAAGTTAAAATGAATGAGTCCTTTTAATGGACAATGATGTCACAGAAATCCAACATGAGCCGACGTTTCGGGGCCACACAGGGTCCCTTCTTCAAGGCAAGAGATGAAGGGACCCTGTGTGGCCCCGAAACGTCGGCTCATGTTGGATTTCTGTGACATCATTGTCCATTAAAAGGACTCATTCATTTTAACTTATGGAGTGCTGGTGACCTATTTTCTTCATCTGCACTTAGAGTCTTATCTTAGTCACCCTGAAAAAGGCCCACAAATATCTTTTGAGCCAACCAGTGAAGTCCACCTAATGCAGCTTCCTGTGATGGTGTGGCAACAATGCTGAACTGCTCTTAAATTCAAAGTAGACTCGCCACTCTCATGTTGGTTGTGTCTGCTTGCACTAGCATGATATACGAAAATGTTGCAGGGGACAAGGCCATCAACATTGATAATTCATGAGCTTGTATCTGGCCACTGCTTTCTGGATTTACATTACATTACTATTGCTAAAATCCTCCCACTGTGAGCTGCAGTGTTTGGGAGGGAGAGCCTGTGAGACACAAATAAGGGAGGATTTGGATCAGTCAGGGAAGGTAAATAATGTATTTTGTTTACTTTATGAGGCTTGTGCATGGCATAGTAAATTAATTTGGTACTGTCATACAGGAGCCTTTAGTTGTATGTTAAGTGACAAAATGTAGAGAAACTGTAAAGTTTCTTTGTCCTGATGGGCCTTGTCATCAAGATGATGTAATGTTTATTATGACATAACTTGGTGCCTATAAATTGTACTAAGGCATGATCATTAAAAGGCAACTTTAAATTATCCCTGCTTGACAAGATCAAGAAAGGTCCCAGATTCTGCTAATGAAATAGTAATCACTACTCTAGCTCCACCCAGCTTCAGCAGTCCAGATGAATCCCCTATGTACACAATAGTTCTAGCACTGCACGTAAGTGGAGACATTGCCCATAGCCACCAGATCATATTCTATTTGAATTTCTAACCTACATAACAATGAAAGATGTTTGCCATAGGCAGCAAAACCATTTTCCTATCTTCCAGTTTTATGCTTAAGCTTAATCATTTTGGATGGATATCCCTTTCTCCTGTAATTGTGGCAAAAGGGACATCCATACTGGTTTAATGGTGAGCCGTTTGACTTAATTCAATTATTGATATTCCCTATGTTCCTGGCAACAACTGCTATAATGGGCTCCTTTTTCACCTACTACACCGTTTCTATTCCTCTTAATCGGCAAGATTAAATGTGCCCTTTTATCAGTGGAAATGATTTAATTTACTCCAATATTACTGTATTTATCCTATACAGAAAGGTGAACACCAAATTGAAAACCGGGAATCCTCTTGATGACATAGATAGAACTGGATGGAACCTCACACAATATTTTTCTAGTAGCTTCATTTATGCCCTGTGGCACCGCATCCCATAGAGTTGCATTATATCTTCTTTTCATTTTCTTTTTTGTTGTCCTGTTGAGGCTACAAGAGGGTGCTTCACTGGTATTGTAAATAGTTCTTTAAGGACTGAGGCAACGGTAAAGACTCAATTTGGTTCAAACGGTCTCTGCCAATAGCAAACCGAACCGATCTTCTGCATAAATCCACCAAAGGAAGCGGTTCCGCTGAAAACAGAGAACAAGTACATTAATTTCACAGTATAACTACTGTCTGTATAGTTCCAAAATAACCTTAATTCTAACAAATAAGTCCAATAACAATGAAAAAGAATGATCGACATCTATTTGGCTGCTTTGGACAAAACATTCTCAGCCCATATTTATTGCTGTTCTACACATTCACTGCTAGAGTTCTAAAAGAGTTATACTGTATTAAGGACCGCCTTGGATATAACCAGCCAACTCGGGCATTAATTCACATCACACACAGTCTCAAGATAAAGAAGCACCTAAAATCCTCCTATTTTAAAACCATATACATACATATAGAAATATTACCATGTCTAAGCATAGATTTATGGAACAAAAACCTCAAAAAATACTCAGGGAGAAGGTAAATGAGCTACAAGAACTATCAGTGAGACCAGTGAGCAAAAACTAAAAGGAGCAGTTGGTCTACTGCATTAAAGGGAAGATTTGCAACATCCTCCCAGCAGGACATTAATGCAAAATAATGCAGTTAAGGTGTATGACCTTTATAGCAACAAATATCTTCACAATGTACACTGAATTAGCATAGTCCTACATTTACACGCTTCTTTCTTTTTATAAAGGAATATAATTATTGCATGTGGTAGAAACCAATCCAGAGGCAAAGTACAAAATATAAGAGCATACCTGCTGTATAGCACATATTACAATAGTCAGAAGAGAATAAAACTGAATTAGAATCACACACAGTCCATCAAAAAATGAATGCTATATTTACACTTCAACAACCATCACAGATATCTCTAGACCTATAATGATAGTAACATGTCTGCAATTAAACACATTAAAGTGACACTAATCTTAGTAATTAAGGGGGTTATTCACTAATCTGCCAAAGGCAGCAGAGTGAAGAACGGAGCCGAAGTGAAGTGAGCAGATTCACTTCAGCCTTGTACGGCTGATTTCAGCCACACATCGGCTAAAATCAGCCATACATCGGCTGCCTTCGGTTAGCCGAACATGCTCTGAAGTGCAGAAGGCGTTCAAATCAGCCGATCCAACATCAGGATCGGCTGAGCCGAAGCTCCAGCAGCTCACTCACTACCGTTCGCCCCTATTCTCATAGGGGCCGTACAGCAGTAAGTGAATAGCCAAATGCCACAGAGCGGCATTCGGCATGGGTATTCTGCTCGGTTCCTTCGAGGTAGCGAGCAGAATAAAAAAAATTAGCTGTATTTAAACAATAAAAACTGGGTGGAGCCAACTGTGATGTCATGGCTCTGCCCAGTTCTTATTTATTGGCCGGGACCTGCTAGTAGACTCTGGCAGATGCCGGCAAAATAAAAACAAATTGGGCAGAGCTAGCGGTGACATCACCGTAACCTCCGTCCAACTGTTTCCTATTGGCCGGCACTTGCCAGAGTCTAGCAGGTCCTGGCCAATAAACAACTGGACGGATACGGGCCTGACGTCACGGTTGGCTCCGCCCAGTTGTTATTGTTTGATGACAGATCAGTGTCCCCAGGTCATTTGGGGACACTGATCTGTCATTACAACTGGGCAAAGTGAGCCATAAGATCACAGCAGCCTCCACCCAGCGGTCATTTGCATGGAGAAAGGTCGGCCTTTGGCTCAGTCGAGCCAAAGCATATGCCTTGGGCTGCTGTATGGGCTATTGTGAAAAGCCAGTTCAGCAGCCCTTCGGTTCGACCGAACCGAAGGACTCAGGTGGCCGAGGCAAGCCGAAGGATCAGCCGAGGCTGCGGCGGGATCACTTGGCTCATATGAGAATAACCCTCTAAATCTTAAAAATTAGGGCTGTTACTGATTAAAATTTTCGTGTTCGATTAATCTAAATTATTGTTAATCGATTAATTTCGATTATAACGCACATACAGATCCAACTACATTGGCCTATACACATACAGCACAGCAATGAAGTAATAAAATGAACTAGGATCACACTAATCCATCACGTTATTCATCTCACGTGCCCCACTCAATATGGCCGCCGCTTGAGTGGGGCAACTCAGAATAATAACGTGCTGGATTAGTGTGATCCTAGTTCATTTTATTACTTCATTGCTGTGCTGTATGTGTATAGGCATTGCCTTGGCTGGCGCTCGTGCAGAAAGTTTCATAAAAAATGTAATCGTTCAAAAACATTTTAATCGATCAAAAAGATTAACGATTAATCGAGAAATGAATCGTTAATTTGCACAGTCCTATTAAAAATGCATTCAAGAACCTTAACTACTAACCAAAATGTATCTTATTTGTGTATCACTTGGCTGTAGATCCTCAAATCATCTCTGAATTGGTGCTGAGACTGTCCTTCTTTTGTTCCCCATGGTCCCTGTGGGTGTTGTAAAGTAGTCACCGCTCCAAGTTCACTCCTGTGATAGACTACAATCTCAATCCAAATTAGTAAACTAAACCTAAGATTGTATTCTATCACGGGAGTGAACTGATTATAATACTGAGCATGTATCCACCTTCCTCCCTTCAAGCAAAATATAAATTGAGCTTGTCTGCTATAGCATATCACCTCTGCCTATTTTCTTTTTATATCTTTGTATGTTTAAATGGGAGGCGAGCCAGCACAGCATACCATGTTAAGGTCAAATCTTCAAATCTCATTTAACGTTTTGAAAGGCATTGCCAAGTGAGTGTGGCAGAGTGCATTAAGGGATTTGGAATGTGCACCTCTAGGCTGAGCACGCCGCAGACACTGCAGTGCGGTGTGGAATTTCTGCCTTTAACAGGAAACCATAGGTTTCCTCATAGGCTATGAAAATACTAGTCATGCACATTTGTACAGTAACATACTGTGTAGAGTTCAAACATTTTCCAGGGGTTGCTGCACCAGCTCAGCTGTGAGAGCAACTCCTATGAAAATTCCTAAGAGCTGACTGCCTGTCAGCAATAACCAGCAATCAATGATCAGCATTATTTTCTTTTGCATACTTAAAGAGGAGCTCTGCTCCTATTGAAAGGCAGGGTACTGTATTAACACAAGGAGCTGTTTAAATAACTCAACTCCTACTCTTGGTTACAAGAAGGAGCAGTCATATACTGTTCATAACCAAACAATTTCACATGGTATGTCTGTGCCCGGCTTATACCACATCATTCTGATGACACTGCTGATTCAGAAGAAAACCAATGGTAGTGTCCATTGTATAATAGAAGCCACATTTTTTTCCCCTGTTCATAAGCCAGTTTGCATACTCAATTCTTGGCTGCATATAAGAACAAAGATTCAAACTTTACTACGTAGGTAGAGTTTGGGTGTTAAAGACATACAAATATTATAAACACAAAGGCTATAATGGCCCCTTGGTGCTGTGAGCCCATTGTCCAGACTTTGTACATATATACTATAGCCAAACTAATAGGTGATAACATCATTTTCACGGATCCATCACCATCTATCCACTCCTTTTAACAGCTCTGTGTAATGTAATAGACATACATCAAGGGGCACAAGGGGATCTTGAAGATGTAGATGAGGGCCCAGTTGCTGCTTAGTCTGCATATTTTGCACATTACATTTAAAAAAGCCAATGGATCACATTATAAAAGAACCATTATTAGATATTTGGGCATTAAAAAAATTACTTCATTGATTCTTAATCATCTTGTGATCAACAACAAATCACAGCAATCTTGCACAATTCACTTGCAGCATTAACAGAATATTTTTTTTAGGTATTGTCCATTTCACAGGTATTATTTACATGGAATAACCCTACTGGCCCCAACATGACCACAGAAATAGTCTACATACTTCATTCTACCATATTAGTTAAAACTTCAGTCCAAAGGAAATATTTGCCAGACAGAGTGCAGTCTTGAGTCTAGCTGCACTAGGAGACTTTGATCAGTCCATCTAGTACAATGCCCTTAGATCTTCCTTCATCTGTTTTTCTTCTTTCCTATAGAAGGATTTCTTTCATCTTCACTAAGCATTTAATAATCTGTAAAATGAGTCATTACCATCTATGCCAGCAATGATCCTACTAAAAACACTTAATTCTACCTTGTTTCTTCAAAGAAGCCCTACTCAAGACACGGAAGGCCTAGCCGCAAGGCAATTTCCTGTTTAACGCTTCTGACCCTCCTTCCAGCAGCTCTCTGTGTCTAATGGGAATGGCAACTGCTACTAGATTTCCCTTGTAGCTCCTTCTGCAGGCAAATTAATTTCATACTGTATTTCAAACACTGCTCTATCAAATCCATTACAATTGGACTTGGATTAAGAGAAAACATTCTAAAATATGTGGAAGGAAGTGTACCTTTTACTGATATGCCACAGCAATGGCACAAGGTCCTAATCATCTGACTTGCAGTAAAGCACTGGTTCCAATAGTGACTATACACCAGGATATATTTCTACATAATACAGGGCAAAATCATTTCCGTTACAGTGAATTATAAAGTTGGAAGCATCAGCAAATTATACATGTATAGAAAGGATGGATGTCACACATAATGAAGTTGATTTACTAAAGCAGTTGAGAAACGTGTGTGAATATTCACTTAAATAAAAAAAAAAAGAGGGCTCTCTTGAAGTACTAAGGTTGATTGTAACACAGAGCTCCCTTTAGTGGTTAATCTAGAACTCTATTTTTAATATAATTTAAAAAAAACAATCAGGAGAGCAAGCATTTAAAAATGTGAAAGCCACAACATTATCTTAAGAACCCTGGAATAACAATAACTAGAAATTAGCTATACATTTCCTTTTAATAGCTTTACAGAACGAGTTAGCTGCTTTTAACATATTCCTCTTCCCCAAAGCCACGGTTCTATCCAATTTTCAGTTCTGGAAACAGTTTAAAATATCTTTTACGTTCGATTCTTATTTTAAATTAACATTTACTTTAGACTTTTGGTTCTTTAAACAGAATTCACCAAAACAAGGGGAAATGAAAATGATTCTATGCAAGTTACAAAAGAATGTATCTTTCTGTTATTAGCCAGATGTTTCATTTTCCGTTGATAGGATCAAT